TACTTTTGTTTGCGAGATAATTATACCGAACAGTGGTTCGATTCTAGGAGAGATTAGGAAAACAAAAATTATGTGGCCTAAACTGATCGGGTGATTTCCTAATTTGGTAGGACATTCTGCAGCCAGCTTATGTTGCATCGGCTTAATCCTAGGTTCAAAGGCAAATCTTACTTCTTTCTTAAATTTTATTTCTAAATAATATAGTTAAATTTTTTGCTCGGAAAATAAGTAATTTTTCGTGTCTTTACGTTTTTTATTTTTTGCTTACATATAAAGCCAAAGTAGCGTCTGGTGTTTTCCTTAAGGAGGAGGAAGCGAGCTAAAAATTGTCAAATAAATATCACTAAAGGTAAATATTTCACCCTCTTAAGGCTAAGGACTAATACTAAGATTAAGACTATAGCTAAGACAAATCCAAAGGCTAAGACGAATATGAATACGATTTCGATGGCAAAGCCGAAAGCGAACACGAAGACGAACACTGAGCTTCATCTGCCTCGGGAGACGCGAACGACACTTGCACAACTTCGCTCCGGCTACTGCAGCAGGTTAAACTCCTACCTGAGTAGATTGAATGAGGATGTGCCAAATGAGTGTCCGTCATGCGGAGAGACCCCACATGACTCGAAACAGCTCTTCGCATGCCCGGAAAACCCGACAACCCTAACGGCCTTGTCCCTGTGGACCAACCCCGCAGAAGCTGCACGCTTCCTAGGGCTGCCGTTAGTGGAACTTGACGACGACGACTGAGATACCAACCGACCTGGGCGGAGTTGTTGTAGCCGCTACAACATCAACAACAACATGAACACTGATACGAAGGTGAGCATGAATAAGAGGATGATGACGAAAACGAATACAAACACGAATACGAATAAGAATAAAGCCATGAAGGCGATCACGAATACGAAAACGGACGCGAAGATGAATCCGAAGACGCACTTGGAGACAAAGGTGTAGACGGATTAGAAGACGACGACGAGTTCAAGTGGGCAACATATATCTTCACTTTCAACTTCATCTTTATCTTTAACTTCATCTTCATATCTATTTGCATATTCATCCTTGAGCTCCAACTTTATCTTCAATCGTCATCTCAATATTCTCCATCTTGAACTTCAACTTTATCTTCATCGTCACCGTCATCTCCATCTTCATCAACATCTTTATATTCATCTTCATTTTCGTCTTCAACGATGAACGCCATCTTTAACTTCATCTTTATCGCCATCATAATCTTCATCTGTACCGTTATATTTATCCCTAGTTTTTGTTTTTGTCCTTGCATCTTTTTTTCTCTCTTTTCGATCCCCTTCACAGTGGTCTTAAACGTTCAACGCAACCATCTTCCGTCTATCCACGCAGTCACCCATTCCACGTGGCGTTCTTTTTCTTTTTTGTGATAAAGCTCAGCAGTTTCCTTTTCAGTACTGGAGCATTTGTGTACATTTGCTTTATAAAAACTTAAAAATTAATTTTTATCTTCTGAGCAAAAATCAAAGATAACTATTAGGCTTAATTTTCTTTTCTTGATTGTTGGCTTAACACATGAGAAAAAAGAGAAAAAAGAAGCAACAGTTTACATGGCGAACTTAGCTCAGTGGCTTTGACGGCTTGGGGTCGTTGGATCGAATCCCAGTTGAAGAAGTCGGATGAGGAGATGTGATGATCTCCGAAATAGCAGCTCTAACGGTAATTTGGAGAAATACGAAATCTTCGATAAATCAGTAAATATTAAAGCCAATTTATTCAAAATTGATGCTTTAAACAATTCCTTACCAGGAAATACGTCTATAATAAAATTTTGAAAAATGGGCGTGGCACCGTCCACTTATGATCACATATATGTATCTCGGTAACCGTTCTACCAATTTGTACCAAACTCGGTATTTTTATTGTGCTTGCTACATAAAAGCAAAACGATGAAAATTATTGAAATCGGACTAAAATTATGGTTTTTCATATAACGGTAAATTTTAGAAATGCTTGAAACGTCAATATTTTGAAATTTAAGGACGCTAATTTACTCAAAATTGATACACCCCGGCTTACCATGTAGCGGTAGCTTTCGGAAAGGTGAAAATCATATATTTAATATTTGCGCCGGGTATTTAATGTTCGGCTCCGCCCGAACTTAGACTTTCTTACTTGTTTTATTTTAGTTTAAATTTAAAAATTACCGTTATTTGCGGTCCCTGTTTAGAACATTTTAACTTATTTTTTTATAACTTTTAACCCACTGTGCTTACCACAAACTGCCTTAATTCTGTTTTTTTTTTACAACGCTTTTATCAACTTGCAATGTTGTGTTCCAGAAACTTTCAATGTTGTGTGTCCGAGACCATAAAGCTTTGCTTTGAAAAGTTCCTATAAAAAAGCATAGTGCATAGGGCGACATCTGTAGTGAAGTAGTGCATAGGGCGATAGCTGTAGTGAATAGGGCGAGGTAGATGACATCTAGATGCCGCCCTATGTACTACGTTTGCTACAGCGGAAATAGACGACACGCCATTCTTTAAATAAAATTAATTGGTGCTCGTTTGTATGTACATACATATGTAAATGCATGTGTGTGCACCTTTCTATTAATATCGTTGAATTATTTTAATCAGCCTCATTGCGTAAGTCGTAAATTAGGCTCAATTGTACGACTCGACAATATTGGCATTGTATACAGCCGTGTTGAAATAAGTAAACGACGAAAATCGTCGTAAACTATACAGTGCTGCCAAGTTTTCCCACTTTAATACACTAGTCGAGTGGAAATTTTAGGCAATGGCGTGAAACTTAAGATACGATTCGACTCTCGAAAAACGACTTGCATTCGACACGGCTCTCGCAATGAGGGCGAATATCTATTGCAAAATTTTATTCAGACAGGACTAAAAAGTAGAAAA